ATCTTAGTGACCCTCCTTTGAACTTTTTCCAACAACTTGTCATCCTTCTTTAACCCTCTCACTGTGGCTGTGACATATATTTCCCAGTGCACTGGGAAATATACATCCCAAATGCAGTGAAAGGGTTAAGATAAGGGGATAACAATTACACACAATACTAAAAATAAAATCTAAATAATGCCTAACTAGTAGCTTATACAATGAAACCATGGCCTATTTGGTCTTGTAAAATTCTGCTAGCTTTACCACTTGCAACAGTACACTGGGAAATATATGTCCCAACTGTAGTGAAAGGGTTAAGATAAGGAGATAAAAACTACACACAATACTAAAAATAAAATCTAAATAATGCCTAACTAGTAGCTTATACAACAAAACCATGGCCTCTTTAGTCTTGTAAAATTCTGATAGCTTTACCACTTGCAACATTCTCAAAAGCTTTATTAGTATTGTGTGTCTACACTGAATACACACTGTATCACAACAGATCAGAAATTAGTCAGCAGTGGATTAATAGTTTCAGTATGGCCATAATAATGGATACTTGTATTATAAGAAGTGTCTATGAATCATTGCATATGTTTATGAAAAGTGATATTCCCACTAACACAAGTTAATTTTAAACAGTTGTATGATATATCATGCAACTAAGTATGAATACATGCTTGCATCAAACTATTATCTTGTGTTTAAAAAATAGCATTTCACGTATTACAGAACTTTAATGGAATTGTAAGTTACAGATACTCATGATCTTGCAAAGATCAGAAAACACAAAAAATAACCATTTCAGGTAATTCAACTTCAGTAGTTTCAAGGACTTCATTCATGTACTAGAGACAAATTTTGACCTGATAAGAATCTAGTGGCAGCAGATAAAACATTAGTCACTATACATACTCTAACAAGTGAATGAAGTCCATTAAATCTTTCAAACTTAATTATATTATTTCATCTTAAATTTAATTTACACAACATTACTGTTCATATTTACAATTTAGGCTAATGGGCATGCATTAGTTAAGGCTTGTGTTATATAGCAGTAACATAAACTATATGATAATGTTATAAAATCATTTATTACAATTTCATTTATAGTAGTATCTCCAAGGTTATTGTACACTTTAAAAATGGCTTGTTACCACTAGCTGATCAAATTTCCTTATTTATTTGCTTTTTATAATTAGCTCTGGCAAATTATGATGCAATTAAGTCAGTTATACTGTTGAGTCAATCTTATAGAAGATAGTGACATTACAGACATATAGTTAATGGGGATAAGAAAATTGATAAGCCATGCATATCCAAAAACTTCCTTACTGTAGGACAGTTAATAAAGTATAAATAAAAAATTCCAGTGAAAAAGTAAGGAGGTACTACAGGAAGTATATTATGTCACCTAATTCATTCTTTACAACCCAGAAAATAAAATCACTGTTTTTAATACAGGTATTAAAATATTCTATAATAAATTATTTTTTTTGTAATTATACAGAGCAAGACCATTAATTAATTCTTGCACAGCACATGTAATATTATGTATAGTTAGGCTAATAAATCTAGAATAGAAATAAAATTTCTTAACAACTTGGAAATTGTAGTTTTTCTGACAGTCAGAAAACAGCCCTATATCTGGTCTAAAGATATAATATAATGGCCTTTTCTGAGAAATGTTTGATGCAGCAATATGTACTGATATAGAAGTAAGATGATAAATAATGATGTGATCATTGTTACAGTATAAATTAAAGGTACAATTTATTGGAATATGATGAAGAATAAATAAAAATTATATAATGATACATAAAATATACACCTCACAGTTAGGTAATGTAAGAAATAAACACTTATGCCAGTAAAATAAAATTAGGGAATTTCTGCTGCAGACTATATATACAAATAAATGCACTTTTCTTCAAGTCAAACTGAACTGTTGAGACAAGATAATCATATTCACAATTTCCCTCTAACTGTACTACTCCAATAAATTTAATTACCAAAGGTAATAACAAAACTATTCAATTAGACATTCAATTTGTTATCACATATTCATGAAAACAATCAACATCTATCCACACATAAATGAAAAATAATACTTTAACACTGTTTCAGTATTAGGCAATTCGTGCTCTTGTGAATGGGTATTTCACTATTTGCATGTTGCCTGGAGAATACATGAAGCATCCTTTCTTAGTGTCATCATCTTATATGTATAATAATATTGTTAGGTTCTTGAAATAAAATGAGAATGTTTATTTCTTCGTAATATCATGTATTACTGTTACTATTAGCAAGAATTACATATAATATATATATATATATATATATCACAATCACTAACTTAGTTACAATTATTTCATTTCTTCTGTTACGATAATTTCAGAATCACATTTAGCTATTTACCATTGAGTGCAGCATGACTCCAGTAAGAATGATTTAGTTCCAAAACCTCAAATAAAAATATATTTTATTGTATATGATATACGTAATATGCTGACATTGACACAGTTAGTAAACGTGCCATAAATCTTTTTAAAAAAATATAGTGAAATTGCCCAACACGTAACAGTAAATTAGGTTTAAGAAATTATACTGACCTATTGTAATGGCAAGATACTTTCTATTACAAATCAGAATCTACCCATAACGTTAGAGCTAATATTTATACTCCTACTGTCTAAGAACGGAGCGAGCGGAGTTCTATCCCCTGTAGGCGTAACATGAAAACAAATATATACAGCGTGGTCACAAGTAAATAGACCCCACCTTTTCAGAAAAAATGTAAATATTCAGTCATATTCACATGAATT